CCTTGATGAAGTTACTACCACTGATGTGACTGTTACTGATAAGGGGATATTTCCTGATGGAGCAGGTGAACCCCACGTGAAGCAGAAGTCAATGAGATGGAGACCAATACGGAAGAAGATTTTGTTGTATTTTAATTTTGTGTTTGTAAATTCTGTACATTCAATTAAATTATTGTTAATTATCTATTGGTTTAATGTAAGTGGCTGTTGTTCGGGACGAATAATATTAATGAAGGGGCAGTGTTTCGACAGCGGAAGTCGCGTGACACTGGGAGCATGCGTGCTGGAGTTTCTCGAAGGATCATGAAGGCCCGAGTGTATTCGAGAGACGCACTCTTTAATATATAAGCCTGGCGAGAAAAACCAGCGTGATCGAGATAGAGATAATTGAGTCAAGCGAACAGTAGGCCCCGTAAGTAAAGTGTGTATCACTGTGATTTATAGCGTGTGTTATAAAGGTTGTTAAGTTTAAAGTGACTGTGAAAGTTCTGTGTATTACAAAAAGAATAAACTGGGTTAATCAAGAAAGGACTTGTATCACTGAAGTTCCTTGGAAAGAATTTCTACCGTAAATTATCAAACAAGCAGATACTAACAATATTTAACAATCCTTCTTCATTTATCGTGGGTATTTCTTATAAGTTTCGAGATCCCTCGAAGAGATTAGTAGTGGTGGGAATTAGCTCAATCTTTTCATTTTTATAGACATTAACAAAAACAGTTTTGAGGAATAAGTATTTTCAGTAACTCCAAATGGACCTATTTCTTTTTCCCGAATTTATAGTTTAAAAGAAAAACTTTCGTTTCCCAAATCCTACAATAATTTTCAAATAAACATCTTCTTTAAGCACCATATACGCAACTATGAAATCACAATTAGTCTAAATATTAATAAAAAAATATTATTCACTAAAAGTCCATTAGCTTAGAATGGAAACATTTAAATTACATTTTCCATTATTACTTTCATATTTCTTTATAATTGACTTAAATTAGTTCCTAATGTTTTACTAAAATCTTCGATTTGGTCAATATTTGTTATTTTTTCTACATTTTTTATCTACCTACTGCACCAGTTCCTTTAAATTGTTTATGTTTTTGTTATCAACATCAAATTATCAATGATTATCAAAAATTTTTTTGGTACATGTGAACCATTTTTAGTTATATTAATAATAATATCCTGAGATTTATAAACGATTTTGGATTTATCGTAAACATATTCTTCCACTAACGATAAATTAATAGTCACTACTATCAGTTGCCTCTAACACTTGTAATAATTTATTTTCAATATTATAATTACCATCATCAGTTAACTTAATACCATTTACAGGTGTATCTATAAGACCCTGAGATATTTCTTTATTTCGATTATCATATAGAAACCAAAACCTCATTTATTATCATTAAAAATTCTCATGTTTCAAAACTTTTACAATGAAGGTTCATTATTCCTTTTTCCTTGTCAACTAATAAGAAATAATGTCTATATGGTTTTGAATCTTCCAATTCGCCACATTGTTATGGAATTCATGGTTCGTCCATAATTGGTATCGCTTACGAAACATGCAGTTTCTTTATTGATATTACTTAACCCGGCTACTAACACATCTGAGTAATATCTGGAATATTTTCTAATTTTCCATCTTTGAACGAAGCATTGTAATCTTCAGAAGGATATTTAACATTATTAATTCTTACCCATGTTTTTAGTATAGCAGATTATCGAAAAAAATATTGTTTTTGTTTTGATTATTTTCTTTATCTTGAAACTGGGGAACAACGTCAGTGTTTCTTGTTTCATTGCTTGTAGTATTTATGATATATGTACTGCTTTATCTATTTTGAACATTACTGTTAATAACCTCGACACCACTCCAATTGATTTC